ATTTGTAAGATAGAATTGGGGTCATGATAGTGGGGGGAAGAAGCATTAAAGAACTAGAAGAATGTTGTGTATTTGTCAGGGCTATACTGCACCCTGGTTGGCTCATCTCTTCATGCCAAGGAATTTTGTTCCATCACAACAATGTTTCTGCTCATTGTTTGAGAGTAGCTGGGAATTTAGCTGGGAAATCTTATCTCATCCTTCCATTCTGCATTATTGATCTTGCCTCTTCAGACTTTTTTTATTCCCCAGTCTCAAAAAATATTTATAAGGAATATAAATTGAGTTCTTCAAGATGGCAAAAATGCCTTTGACATGGTGTCAATTGAAGAGGTCAGAATTATTCAGAGAGGTTAGAGATGGAAAGACCACCTTAAGAAGTATACAGACCTAGATGGAAAATAAGAAGGATAAGTTGAGAAACAATTGATTCATATTTCAGTACTTTTGTATTGTGATTGGGTTACCATCCTTTGTTGATCAGTTTTTTTTTCACATTTAAAAAGACGTTTATTTAGCGTCATGATCAGACCATTACATTTAGCAATGAACAGAATGGGTGCAAAAAAAAAAAAAACTACATTAAAATCCCTTGTTAAAATAAAAGTTGACCAAAGTAAAAAAAATAATAATAAAAAAAAATAAAACCCCTTGTTGGACTGCTTTACACTTTCCACAGAACAGAAACTAAAATAACCTGTTATACAATTAGTCACAAATACAGTCCTCAAATTCTTTTGCCCATACACATGAGTATTGTCTGAAACATGTCTTCTTTGTAGCAGCTAGGCCCTGCCACCACTGTGCTTGGCTGAGTTCACAAATCGATCCGTTTTTTGTGAGCTAAAAGATGAATTTTAAAAAGAGGATACTGTGATTATATTTTGCTTAAAATAGAAATTTTATGTCAAGTCTTTTTAATAATATGTGATTGGGTTGGAAAATCTGAAGGTAGTGGGATTTGTGAGCAAATCATAATATTTGTAAGTGGGTGTATAGTTATTTGGTAATTTTTGATCTTTGTGTTTTCTTTTTTTAGACCGAAAAAGATGTGAATTGCCTTGAACCTTGGTTAATAAAGGAAATGGATGCTTGTCTTTCTGACATATGGCTTCATAAAGATGTTGATGCTTTCGGTCAGGTCTTTCACCTTATTTTAACAGAAAATGTTAGTGGTAAGTTTAATTTATTAAAAAACAATAGAACCTTTGTTTTTACTTGGGCTAGTAATGTAATTCAACTTAATATATGTATTACATTTTTACCCATGAGAACAGAGTAGATTGTAAATTTTTATGGATACATACAGTCTTATCTTTCTTCAGTGGGCGGGCTGATCAGTTTGAGCTGCCAGTTTTGCGGTTAGCAGCATGAATGCTAACCCCTGTGCCATTGAAGCTCTTTTTGACATAGCGGATTGTAGTTGGGCTGCTAACCACAGATCAGCAATTTGAAACAATTCACTGCTTCTCAGGAGAAAGATGAGGCTTTCTAAACCTACTTTATACTATAGGGTCTGCTATGAGTTGGAATCACCCGATGACAGTAAGATTATTTTCTTTAGTTGTTATTTTAAATGTACAAATCAAGATATTTTTAGTAATGTAATAGAATAAATATATACTGTACTACGTCAGGGATTCTTAACCTTTTATCTCCATAATAGTTTATGTGGTCCCTGAATACATGACATTTGTGTACCCATATGCATTTTTTTTATACCTCTGCATACTCATATGCTTTATTTCTCAATCTACACATTGGGGAGGGGAATCTTTATTTCTCTTTGGCTTCTTAACAAGATTTGTAATTTCAAAAGAAGGAAGGATAAGGAAAGGTAGAGTTTTCTGTAGATTATTTGACAAATGAAAATTTTTGCATATCTTAGTTACACAAGCTCATGTTCTAATTCACATGTACATATTTTATGTCATGTTTCTTATTTTCACTAATGAGAGCTGTCCTGGATTTTGTTAGTTGATTATGGTGGGGGGAAAAGGCACTCACTGTATTTGATTGGCTGTTAGTAATTCTCTGACTCCTGCTCTAGATCAACAACAAAATTATTATTATTATTAATCAAATGCTTACTATATGCCAGACACAATCCTAAACTCTCAGTATTTAAAATATTGTGTCTTAACTCCGAAGCATATACTGCTATTCCTATTTTACAGATAAAGGGCAAAAGATTCAGAGCATTTAATTTCCTTATGGACACATAGCTAATCAATGGCATATGCCCAGGCAATTTGGCTACAGAGATTGGGTACTTTTCTTAATAGCTGCTTTATTCCCTTCTCCCCCACAATTTTATTTATTGTGTTATTGAGAATACACACAGCAAAATAGACACCAATTGAACAGCTTGTAAATGTACAATTTAGTGACATTGATTATATTCTTTGAATTATGCCACTAGTTCTCACCTTCCTTTGCTACATTGCTCCTCCTTCACTAACATAAACTCGCCTTTGAACTTCCTATCTAATCTTCAAGTTGCTTTTGTCAGTTTGATTCCATGTAGGCGGTTATTAAAAAGCATGATGCGATATATGTGTGGATTGTGAGAAGAGTTGTATTGTATGAGCCCCCAATAAAATGATTTTAAAAAAAGCATAATGCTTCTCAAAGTAGACCATTCTCATTTGTTAAGCTTAACTATAGTTTGGCTTTAAGATGACTTAAGGTGATATCTTTGGTTTAAGGTTTAAAGGTGATCACAGGGCAAATAGTTTGGATGTTTCACCTTTTAAAAAAAATAATTTTTTAAATAATTGTAAGGGTTATCAAATGCTTTGAAATCAGGAAAGATATGTGTAAGGATAGTATTCTTTCACCATATTCATTCCGTTTATATCCTGAGTAAGCCGTTCAAGAAGCTGGACTACATGAAGAACAGTATCAGGATTGGGTGAAAACTAATTAACAACCTGTGATATGCAGATGACACAACCTTGCTTGCTGAAAGTAAGGAGGGCTTGAAGCACTTACTAATGAAGATCAAAGTATTGATTACACTTCAGCATAAAGTAAACAGAAATCACCACCACTGGACAGGCTTAATAAGCAACATTATGATAAGTGAAGTAAAAAATTCAATCAAGTTGTCAAGGATTTCGTTTTACTTCGATTTGTAATCAAAACCTCTAGAAACCACAGTCAAAGAATCAAATGATATATTTCAATGGGCAAGTCTACTACAAAAGATGTATTTAAAATATTGAAGAGCAAATATGTAATTTTGAAGACTCTGATGCTCCTGACCCACGCTATGGTATTTTTAGTTGCCTCATATGAATGTGAAAGTTGGACAGTGAATAAGAAAGACCTAAGAAGAATTGATGAATTTGAATTTGGCTATTTGCAAAGAATATTGTATGGATCATGGACTGTCAGGAAAAAAAAGCTATGTTGAAAGAAATGTGGCCAGAGTGTCTCTTACAAGTGCAAATGGCATACATTCATCTTAATGTACTATGGCCAAGTGATAAGGAAGGACGGACCCATCTCTGGAAGGACATCATTTAAATGTGTAGATCTTCACAAATTATGTGTAACATTGCTTGGTAAAGTAGAGGATCAGTGAAAAAGAGGAAGACCGTTAACAAGATGATCAAAATAGTTGCTGTAGCAATGAGCTCAAACAGAGGAACAATTTTGAGGATGGTGCAGGAATAGACAATGTTTCATATTCTTGTGAGCTGCAGCAGACTCTAGCATGTAACAAGAATGCTAAATAATTATAAGATACTGAATTACTTGAGGGATAGAACTAGGAAGTGACTAAATTTAAATAGGACCTTAATTATTTTTCTCCTGAAAGAATTTTATGGGAATAAACTCTCAGTGTTTTCTCCATTAAATATTTTGGGAACTAGTAGCCTGGAATGATGAAGGGAAAAAGGCCAAACACTACCAAAAAATCATGCTGAAAATTATACTTGAAGTTTTTTCAGTTAAACTTTTAAGCTTTAAAGTTTTGGATTCCCCCCCCCCCACCTTTATCATTATCATTCAGCGATTGAACCAACATGCAGTTTGGGAAAAGTTTTAAGGGTTCTATAAATTAGTTGCTTCTCTTTTCTGTCTTTACGTAGGTGAATTTATAACAGCCTAACAACTATCTTTCCTTCTACCTTCCAACTGATTGTTTCTATTTCATCCTGTTTATGAGCAAAGCCATTTGCCTGGGTTGCTGAGTGGAATTATAGGGCTCTTATTATGTAGGTATGTGAAAGGATAAGTAGTGGTTAATTCTCCCAGAATTAATTAATTCCCTTTAAAAGTTTTTAAAAAGTTAATTGATTTTAAATATTTTGGAAACTACCAGTTTTGTTTTTGTTTAAGTTGATTACAGGCACAGTGAAACAAGTGCGACGGCGCTGATGGTTGCTGCAGGACGTGGTTTCACAAGTCAAATAGAGCAGTTAATTAGTATGGGAGCCAATGTCCACAGTAAAGCTTCAAATGGCTGGTAATTTCTTTTAGATTATACTCATTCTTTGAATCTGTTTTGATAGCAACACATCTTTTTAGATTTCTTACAATTATTTCTATTGAAAAGTTATTGTGTCATAACTGTACAATTGTATTTTAATGATTAAATTATTTTGAATGCCTAGTTTTATAATCTTAACTTTTTTGTGTCTTAATTTGATGCCTTTGACTTTTGGTAGGATGGCTTTAGACTGGGCTAAACACTTTGGACAAACTGAAATTGTGGATCTTCTGGAATCTTACAGGTAAAAATCTCCACTGTAGTTTTCATCTCTTTTCTAAAAAGTGTAGCCATGTAAATCATAGAATATAACAAATGTAGGCTCTTTATAGTCTGTCATCTAAAGATTATTTTTTATTTTGTAAGTTAATAACATCTAGTGTGTTTTAATAGTTATATTTTACTCTGAAAAAAAAAAAAAAAAGAAACAGCTAGAAGGATTGAAAGAACTTTCTAGATAGTGTCACTTAGGAATGGAGAAGGTTTTTTGTTTTATTAAACTCTTATTAGCATTATATACATGAATTACTTTGATTTAAAAAAATTAGAAATGTAATGCTTTCAAAATCTTATTAATCTTATCTAATCATTTAAATAATTAAAGAGTTTAAGATAAACTTAGATTATTAAAGGTTTTAAATGAGATATTTGTAGAATGCCGTAACCATTTATTATAATCATTTTATTAGGGGCTCTTACAACTCTTGTTACAATCCATACATCAATTGTATCTGACAAATTCGTACATACATTTCATCGATCTTTTCTAGACATTTACTTTCCATTGAACCCATGGGATCAGCTCCTCTTGTTTCCCATCCGCTCCTCCAACCCTCATGACCCCTTGATAGAGTGTAGATTGTTAATTGTTTTCAAATCTCACACCGACCGCTGTCGCCCTTCCCCTCTGGTTTCTGTTGTGTTCCCCCTGACTGGGGGTGTGTGGTTCTGTGCCATTCATTGCTGTCTGTGCTGTCCTCCCTCCCCACGTCCCCCTCCTTCCCCTACCCTTTTGGTATCTCTATTCCCATTCCTGTTCCTGGTTCCATGTGTTGTGAGTTTTTTCAGTTGCCTGTACCTATGTACATGCTCCTGTTTAGTCTTGATTGGGAAGCAGCATGACTGGGGTCATGATAGCCATGTGGGGGGGTGTTGGGGGAGGAGGCCTCAAGGGCTCAGAGGTATATCGCGTGACCCATTAGTGCTCTACTGCACCCTGATTTACTCAACCCTTCCCTGTGACCCTCTGGGGGGGAATGTTCCATTGTCTATAGATGGGCTTGAGTCTCCGCTCCAAACTCCCTCCATTCTCACCAATGCATTTTTGTTTGTTTATTGTTTGTTGTGAGTCTTCCGATGCCCATTGTCCGGTCTTATTGACACCTCACAATCGCACTGGCTGGTGTGCTTCTTCCATGTGGGCTTTCAAGTAGAACTTACTTACTGATAAAAATCAAGGACTGCAGCCTTCAATGTGGATTGCAACTCAATGAACATAAAGAAAACCAAAATCCTCATAATTTGACCAAGAAATAAACAGAAAAGATTGAAGTCAAGGATTTTATTTTACTTTGATCCATAGGCAATGCTAATAGAAGCAGCAGTCAGAAAATCAGACAATGTAATATATTGCATTGGGCAAATCTGCACAACACCCCTTTAAAGTGTTGAAGAGTAAGGATGTCACTTTGAGAACTAAAGTGTGCCTCACTCACTCAAGCAGTGGTATTTTCAGTTGCCTCAGATGCATGTGAAAGTTGGACATTGAATTAGGAAGATTATAGAAAATTAACGCATTTGAATTATGATGCTGGTGAAGAACAGTGAAAGTACCATTGGCTGCCAGAAGAACAAACAAATCTGTTTTGGAAGATGTACAGCCAGAATGTACTTTAGGATTGAGGATTGGCTCATGTACTTTGGACACGTTAACAGGAGAGACCTTCCCTGGAGAAGTACATCATGCTTGGTAAAGTGGAGAGACAGTGAGAAAGAGGAAGACCCTCGATGAAAGGGATTGACGCGGTGGTTGCAACAATGGGCTAACATAAAATTTTGAGGATGGCATAGGACGAGGCAATTTTCATTCTGTTTTGCATGCGGTCTCTGTGAGGCGGAACCAACTCGATGGCACCTAACAACAATAGCAATGTGTGTATGTATGTGTGTGTGTGAGAAGTGGAACTGCTGTAGCAAATGGCAACTTTTTAACATTGTGAAGAGCTACCAAAATGTCCTTACCATTTTACATCTTCCAGCAGCAATGCACGAGGGTTCCAGTTTCTCATATTTTTTTGGTCACTACCCATTATTTTCTGTCCGTTAAATTTTAGCCATCTTAGTCGGTGTGAAGTAGAGTGTTAAGCTCTTGTGATTTTGATTTGTATCTTCTTGGTTGCTAATGATGTTGAATTATTTGGTTATGTTTCATTCATTTTTTCCTAAAGTACTTACTACTAAATTTTACTTTGAGAAATGTGCCCATAACTGAAGCCTGAATTAAATTATAGCTAGGAAGAAATACATTTAAGAGTTACATTTCTTTTTTTTTTTTGAATTATATTTCTTAATAAAAATCAACTTTATCTATTTTTAGTGCTTCATTGGAATTTGGAAATTTAGATGAAAGTTCTTTGGTTCAGACAAATGGAAATGACCTCAGTAATGAAGACAGAGAGCTCCTGAAAGCTTATCACCATAGTTTTGATGATGAAAAAGTCGATTTGGATTTAATCATGCATCTTCTATACAATATCTGCCATAGCTGTGATGCTGGTAAATAAGCATTGTTTAAGAACTGAAAACAAACAAATGAGAATTCTTTGGTTTAAAAATTGATCTTTTTTGTTTATACATTTTTATATAATTCCATTAGTAGCAAAGCTTGAATAGTGTCATAAATATTGTTAACTATACTTTTAAACACGTGGTATAGTTTTTTTACAGTAAGTTCTGTTGACTGGTCCTGAATTTAAGATTAAATTTAAAATTTAAAAATGATTTTTTCTAAGGTGCAATATTAATTTTCCTACCTGGATATGATGAAATTGTTGGATTGAGGGATCGCATCCTGTTTGATGATAAGCGATTTGCTGACAATACACAAAGGTAAAAGCTCAAGCTTTATATTTGTTGCTTTACATAACAGACCAATGTTATAGTACAATTTCTCATTTATTTGCCAACAGATATCAAGTCTTTATGCTTCATTCAAATATGCAAACATCTGATCAGAAGAAAGTATTAAAAAATCCACCTGCAGGTGTTCGAAAAATAGTAAGCTTCATGTAAAATCTTTTTTCCAATTTTGATTGTCATTGGTTGTATTTTCACATTAATTATAAAATAACATTCTGTTACAGATTCTTTCTACCAATATTGCTGAGACCAGCATCACAGTCAATGATGTTGTCTTTGTTATTGATGCTGGTAAGATGAAAGAGGTATGTTTGGGTAAATTGTATTTTTATATACATAAAGGTAAAATTCCAAAAAAAAAAAAAAAAGGTAAAATTCCATTCCAGTAAATGCTTTTGCAAATAGAATGAATAAATAAAAGTAATAGAAAAACTATGGTGCGTTTTCCCCTCCCTTCCTCTTTCCGCCATCTTTCCGTGCGGCCATCATGGTGCGCATGAACGTCCTGGCCGACGCTCTCAAGAGCATCAACAATGCCGAGAAGAGAGGCAAGCGCCAGGTTCTCATCAGGCCATGCTCCAAAGTCATCATCCGGTTTCTGACTGTGATGATGAAGCACGGGTACATTGGTGAATTTGAAATCATTGATGACCACAGAGCTGGGAAAATTGTAGTGAACCTCACGGGCAGATTAAACAAGTGCGGAGTGATCAGCCCGAGATTTGACGTGCAGCTCAAAGATCTAGAGAAGTGGCAGAACAACCTGCTCCCCTCCCGGCAGTTCGGTTTCATCGTGCTGACGACCTGCGCCGGCATCATGGACCACGAGGAGGCCAGGCGAAAACACACGGGAGGGAAAATCCTGGGCTGCTTTTTCTAGGGATGTAATGCATCGAAACAAATAAAACGCCGAATGGAAAAGAAAAAAGAAAAACTACTAAGTCTAAGTGAATTTAACTTAGTAGCAATGGTTGATTTCACTGAAATAAATACATAATCTATCTAAAAAATTTACTATATAGAATATAAATTGTTATAATTAACAAATTACTTGGGAGAGATGTAGCAGTCTGCTCTGTACTCAGCCGTTCTACTCTGTTCTTTACTGTCTTAATGAGTTGGAAATGACTAGTTCATAAGTTGTATTAACAAATTATACATAAAATTTAGCTTCTGCTCATTCAATACTAGTAAAAAAGTAAGGGTTTCGCTAGTTGTAGTGAAACTATATCACACAGCACAGGAATTTGATTACATATTTTACATAGGAGGGGCCTTCAAAAGTTTATGAAAAATTTCCAGTCCTGAATTTAAGATTAAATTTAAAATTGAAAAACATTTTTCCATAAATTTTTGAAGCCCAATGTGTTTTTTTTCTGTCAACTGTCCTTTTTCCACGCAGACTGTTCCTTTTTCTCATTGTTCTACCTTTATTTCCTTACATAGGCCCTAAATCCAAATCTACTGCCTTCTAATCCTTATGACTCATAGTAACTCTATAAAGCACATTAGAGCAACTCCATAAGGTTTCTGAGATTTAAATCTTATGGCAGCAGTCAGCCTTATCTTTTTCCCATGATCCTTAAGCATAGTTAATGTTAAAAAATGTTGTGGTTCAATAGAACCACTCTGAAAAAAAGCAAACAAGCATAAACCTTAGCAAATTATACTGAAGAGCCAAACTGGCTTACCACGTGATTTTGTAAATAAGCTTTCATTGAAACACAGTTAATGCCCACCTTTTATGGCTGCTTTCATACTATAATATCAGGTTTAAGTAATTGTTACAGGGACCTTGTAGACCTCTTAAAGCCCACTGTTTTGGTTGATTCTGACTCAGCAACTCTATAGGGCAGAGTACAACTACTTTAAAGGATTTCTGTAAAGATAGACTGTAAAGATAGCTGCATCTTTCTCTCAAGGAGCACCTAGTAGGTTTGAATCTTGGATTTGTAGCTTGATCTGGTATACCACCACATGACTATACTCTGGCCCTTTCTATAAGACATAGAATGTGCAATATTCTCTGATATAAGCAAAAGGAAGCATGTATTTCTTTTTAGCATTGCAATGCTCAGCAATTATCAGCACCCCAAACTTTTATTAGAGCCTTTCCCTGAAAGAATGGAATTGATCAAGGGCAGAAATATTACACAGTTGAATGAACTTTGAACAATGTGGGAGTTAGGGATGCCAGCCCTCCTACACAGTGGAAAATCCACCTCTTGACTTTCTAAGAACTCAACAACTTAGTAGGCTACTTTTGACTGTAATAAACCTT